ATATACCCTAGATTAAAAATATCATTGCAACAAAATTATTTTCAATCATTTGATGAAGGCTGTTTATATCATGTATTGTTTCCGTTTACACTTCTTATAGGAAATGACGATCTAGACGTAAAAGTAAAATGTGCTATAGGGAATCTTTCGGTGCGATTGTACGTGGCCGCGGTAACGGAAACCGTAATGTAGGTCGTTGGCTCTGCAGATAGTTCACCGTGTGCGGCGGGCTTAAAGTAAACAACACGCCGGACAATGGTTCGCTCCTGTCTTTTTGGTGGGAAGTATTCCACTTGTAGTGCCGGCTTCTGTCACGAGGCGGCAGTAGCGTCCAGTCATGAATTTGAGCGTAAATATATTGGCGATTATGGCAATGCGTCTAACACTGTTGTGAAGTTAACTTTCGATTTATGTAGTTACTAGCAGGACACCCGGCGTTGCCCGGGAAATAAAGCGCTCAGTTGGTGACCACTTGATTGAAAGAAAAATACCCAAAAATCTATCTATCTATCTACCCATCTATCTATCTATCTATATGTATCTATGTATCTATGTATCTATGTATCTATCTATCTATATGTATCTATGTATCGATCCATCTGTCTATCTATCTATCTATCTATCTATCTATCCCACTCTATAGTCTATAATAGTGCTACGTATAGTCTTGCACACTCTGTTGTTACAACAATGACATGACAGTCATGCAAGCCAGTGCAAAGTGAATCCCGTCTTGATTGAACGCTGCTGCAGGGGCATGATTTTTTCATCATTTTTTTGTTTTCATTTTTTTATTTTTTCAACTTAATAGCGACGGCTATAGAAATCGCTAGACGTTACCCAGTATTATACGAACAAAAACTAACGAAGAAAAAATACAATCGATATGTGATGATCAGATATATATATTATAGATCTAGTCAAAATATTCCCTAATCTTAGAAATAGTAAAGCGAAACATTAATTTACTTTGCATCACTCGTGACATGTTATTGCGACGTGTATTTACTGGTCGTACTTGATTTGATATACAGCTAGACACATCATGAAGCATTCATATCACCACTTATTGGCTATATTTTAATTTTATTATTGGTAAGTCTGCTAGCGCATAGTGTGATTACTGAAGAAAGGCATCGGGATAGATATTTACTGTCAAGTTACTGTAAGGACTGTTTGCTCAGCATTTTAAGTGCATAATTTCATCAAAACTATGGTTTTATTTGGCAGATACCTGACTGAGTTAACTCTGGTCTATATCCCTGCTACAACTAGATTTGCTACGACCAGTTAACGATCCGGATAGATATCCTTCATATCACAACTGCCGCTCTGTATGCGTTCTATAAATCAAAACAATAATGTGAAAAAAATACTATCGATTTGCTAAATACGACAGTATGCGGCTTAAGTATTGAGCACGCTTTAAAAAATATTTAGCCGAGAGATAGCAGGACAGTGTCACATTTGGCTACAAATGTGTCAGTATGTCTGAGCATTATACAAATATAGGCATGACGCGGAACCAAGGGCGTGCAGCCCGCCCGGCTCCACTTTAACCGTATAAAAGCCGCCGAAGAAAATCATCTTAGCAGTCAACGGCGACCGACGTCCGAGGCCCAATTCCCCATATATAAATATAGGCATAACGCGGAACCAAGAGCGTGATGGTACGAGAAAAGTAAATATTATAGATCGGATGTTACCATGCACACGTGCTGGCAGACCGCCCGGCTCCAGTTTAACCGTATAAAAACGGCCAAAGAAAATTAGCTTAGCAGTCAATGGCGACCGACGTCCGAGGCCCAATTCCCCATAATGCCTAAATATAGGCATAACGAGGAACCAAGAGCTGTATAAAAACGGCCGAAGAAAATTTCCTTCGGCCGTTCTTATACGTTCAAACTGGAGCCGGGCTGGCTGACAGCACGTGTGCTTAGTAAAATCTAATCTACATGATCACATGCTCGCAGCATCGCGCCACGATTCCCAGCTGTGCTAATTTGGGCTCATGGCGCTCCGACGTCGGTCGCGGTTGACTGCCAAGATAATTTTCTTCGGCCGTTCTTATACGTTCAAACTGGAGCCGGGCAGGCTGGCAGAACGTGTGCATGGTAAAATCTAACCTACATGCTTCACTTCGCTCGCAGCATCGCGCCACGATTCCCAGCTATTATAATGTATGGGCTCATGGCGCTCCGACGTCGGTCGCCGTTGACTGCCAAGATCGATTAGTTTTTTCGGCCGTTTTTATACGTTCAAACTGGAGCCGGGCAGGCTGACAGAACGTGTGCATGGTAAAATCTAACCTACATGCTTCACTTCGCTCGCAGCATCGCACCACGATTCCCAGCTATGCTAATGTATGGGCTAATTGCGCTCCGACGTCGGTCGCTGTTGACTGCCAAGATAATTTTCTTCGGCCGTTCTTATACGTTCAAACTGGAGCCGGGCAGGCTGGCAGCACGTGTGCATGGTAAAATCTTATCTACATGCTTCACTTCGCTCGCAGCATCGCACCACAATTCCCAGCTATGCTAATGTATGGGCTAATGGCGCTAAACGTCGGTTGCCGTTGACTGCCAAGATAATTTCTTCAGCCGTTCTTATACGTTTAAACCGGAGCCGGGCAGGCTGACAGCACGTGTGCTTGGTAAAATCCGCTCTATAATATTCACCTTGCTCGAAGCATCATGCCCTGGGTTCCCCGCTATGCCGATATTAATGTGAGTGCAGATGGCGCTCGTGCGTCGGTCACCGTTGACTGCCAAGAGAATTTTCTTCGGCCGTTCTCCTAACGTTCAAACTAGTCACGGGTGGGCCGACGGCACGTGTACACGGTAAAAGCTGATCTACATGCTTTACTTTGCTCGCAGCATTGCGACACGATTCCCAACTATGCAAACTGACCTTGGCTGCTACTTCAGGTTGAGAGCTCATATCAGTGAACCCGTACGCATGAATTAATTATCCCACCCACGCCCCCGTCTATATATATACATATCCGTCAACTACCTTGGAAAACAACAGACAAAAATTAGAGAAAAGAATATGGTTCAAAGTAAAAATATGTACAATTTATATCACATGCCACGGCTTGAGTCACCAACAAGACACTGTGACCAATGTGCACGATACCACGTTACAATCAAATTCACTAGCTAAGCACGATTGCTCCAGATGATTTTATCAAAACATGACACAATGTCAGAAACATGATTTCACACACACCGCCTCAAGTATCTTTTCTTACAAGATCGCAGTCTGCCAATGTGAGCATGCCACACAAATATTCCAAGTTGTCATGACATGTGGCGCCCCCTGCTGGCTACGGCAGCACAGCGTTCTTGTCGTAGAACCTGTAGGCAGTGAAAGGAAGGAACCTTCCTCAATGATTTACGCCACCCTGAAGCTAAAGATCTGAGCAGGTATTTTCATCTGCTGGTTATGGTGCATTGCACATACTTGACAATACGTGTATGTGTGAAGGGAGGGTAGTTGATGAGTTGATCATTGCATGTGGTATATTTTTATTATTTTGATTATCAATATATGTATGAATTTTTTTACATAGTCACACATATTCTATTTGAAAGTTGACCGATTATACAAAAATATAATTTATTGAGATCGAGATTATTGTTCATTGCTGTTGTTAACATTGTTGAACACTTGGGGTTTCATGGTCATACACATGTTAGCTCAGGTGTGAGCAACTAGTCCAATGTAAGTGGAATGATGTGAGTGCACGTATCATTACGACATGTATTTGGTTGGTAACATTTAGTATTGTGAGATTAGACATATTCTGGAAAAAAACTGTTCTCAAACGTAGGTATGTGTTGTGATTCATGGAAAAAAATTAAAAAACACGATTGTTGATTTGTCTGGTGAAAAGCAATTACGTTAATGCTTACTGATCGTCTATGTAATTTGCATCGACCGAATTCAAGCATCTTTTCTTGGGTTTCCCCCTCTATACGTACAAGCTGACAGTGTTAATTACACGATGATAGTTAATATGATATAATTAACGTTTTTTTGTTATGGTAAGTTATTACTTAATTGTGGCGTTGAATCGTTCACATGTGATTATTTGCTGCTGCAGCGTCATTCGGACGTGGGCAGCGACGAGACCCAATCAGATCGGTGAGATGAGGGAGGCGGCCATGGAGGACACGCAGTTCGCTCGACTTGTCCCTGCGCGTCGGCCTGCCATACCTCTATGTCCACCAGGGGGACTGTGAGTCATCTCATCGTGTTACACTGACATTAGGTTAGAGAGCAACAGCGCCCCCTACTATTGGCCCCTCTTAGTACTGCAATAGCTTTGTGACTTTACAGAGCAGATGGTCAAGCCTCTATCGTCAAAACAATTTTAGCAACCACCCTCTATAGAACGTACATCTATCTATAACGGACACATTGTGGCAGTAGTTATACTGTGAAATCGTCTCTATTACAATGGCCACCTAAATTTATAAGGTCACTTTAGGTTTCCGCTTGAGGAAGCTTTATGTACAGGTTCAACTGTAATTATGTTGATCATGTTCTGAAATGATCAAAATTACGACTTAACTTTACATGTAGGTAAGTGTCTGCAAAAATACTGTCAAATATGGTCAACATTCTTAAATAGCTCCCTAAGAGTATATTATGCACAAAACCAATGCAGAATACAATGCAGTTATTAGATAAGTAAATTCAGTCGTATTTAATTCGAGTGCAATGGAGATACATTTCCAGCAGCATATATTTTTTTTATCTCAAATCAGCATTGTCTCTAATGCGTGTTTCTTGTGTTGTAATTTGTGTAACGCATTTTGAAGTGTAGACAAACCTCATATTACCACAATAAATTGGCAACATGGAACGAAAATGAGAGAGGTGATTGGAATTAGCCGTAGCAGGGGCTACAAGAGAATTTCTGGCACTGTTTTAGGTGATGATGATATTGAGGATTCGTCTGACGTCAGTAAATACCCTATTGTTAGCAGCAACGTGAGCGCAAGAAGAAAACCGTGTGCATCGTAATGCCTGCTGTACAACGCGAGGTATGTCTGCTGAGTCTTTGTTTCTCGTATCTGTAGCAGTTCTTCTGAGGAGCCGACTGTTAAACTAGCTTGAAAGGGGGACATATTCATCGTATTTGCTGGCGTCATAGTAGAGTGTAGTAATCCTGTACATATATGAGCCCATTCAGTAGGATACCAGAAAAAGTGAAAAATAGGAAGCGCGACAATTATCGCACGACGTCGAAAAGCGACAAGATATTTGGAAATTGTCTTGCCGACACTCACCCCGCCGATCTCGCCCTGTTTACAGCCATGTTCTAGAGGGGCTGCAGTGCTGCGCGAGTGGCCTAATGAGAATGAGGTAGAATCGTGGCGGTGTGGCCTGACACGTGAGTGATGTTTGTTACAGGTGGTGGACGTACGACGACTGTCTGTGCTCTCGCAGAGTCGGCATTCTTCTGCGACGCCTGCTTCCGTGAGCTCACTACGACAGCAGCGGCACCAAAGCTCGGGCCTTTCACTGCCTACAGTTCTACGACAAGAACGCCGTGCTGCCGTAGCCAGCAGGGGGCGCCGTTTCACTGCCTACAGGTTCTACGACAAGAACGCCGTGCTGCCGTAGCCAGCAGGGGGCGCCGTTTCACTGCCTACAGGTTCTACGACAAGAACGTCTGCTGCCGTATGCCAAGCAGGGGGGCAGCCGTTTCACTGCCTACAGTTCTACGACAAGAAGACGCCGTGCTGACCGTAAGCCAGCAAGGGGGCGCGCGTTTCACGCCTACAGGTTCTACGACAAAGAACGTCGTGCTGGTAGCCAGCAGGGGGGCGCCTTTTCAACT